GTTGCTGGCTGAGTATGAGCATTCCTCTGGAAGTTTGTGGGGCAGGGCTTCATTCTCTTAGGGAAGGATTTTTCACGCAGCCTAGCGGGGCTCAGCAATCCACGCTGTTGTCAATGACTCCTGTGTTTCTGATGTCTGTGCTGCTCTGCAAGGTGAGAGCTGCCATGGGGGCTGTTTGGGAACCAAAAGGCTTGGGGTGAAGGCATTTCAAACAATGAGCAGTGTAGTGTGCAGCATTAGCAGCCCTGGTTTTGCTCCCTGGCAGATGCTGCATTCCTACTGCAGACAGCATTTGTTCTGGCCTTGGCTTTAGTGAGCCAGAACTCTTCTCCACCCTTCCTTATTTTTAATAATTGCTGTGTTTTTGCTCTGATAGACTTTGGCAAATGCCTGACTTAGCCTGCTTTGAAGCTGGGCTGATACTAAAGGCATGTATGTTTGTTTGAGAGAAAAAATGTGTTATGAACCCCTTGCTCCTTCGCTCCTCCTTTCTATCCAAAAAACTCCAGTTAGGTTGAGCCCTGAGCATCTTCTGGCTTGTGGCTGTGGTAGCTGCTCTGTTTGATATCTGAGCAGGAGCTCTTTCCCCATAGTGCAGAATGCTAACGTGCTTTTCTCTGGACAAAACTGAGAATTATTTCCCCACAGGTTTGCTGAAAATTAAGAGCATCCCAAGGTCTGATGTGCCTGACACTGTAGGTATTCATGTTGAGGTTTCCATCTCATTTCCCACAGTCCTGTAGACCAGGAGATAGAAATTGAGATGCAGTGTGTCTGGACCCTTACCTCTGGGTTAGTGGTCTTGTGCTCGTGCGTTTGGGAAGTTATAGCGTTCACCAGCCCTCTTCAGCGTCACTGTGAGAGTTTGAGTTTTGCAAACAACATCAAGAAGAAAAAAACAAAAGATAGTATAGAAGGTTCTTAAACAGATCCAATGTGCCAAGTAGTGAGCACAATGAGGTACCTTGATGCTAGCAGCTAAATCCCCATGCACCTGGTCAGTAATGAAGTAAAGAAAACATTATGAAATGTTTCAGACCCTTCCTGGCTGTTGAGGCGCGCTATGGGAAAGCAGCTTTGCAGATGTTGCTGTCTGCATGTACAGAAAAGTGGTTGCTGCTGTTACCACTGAATTTAGTGCAGTGACTGTTCACTGAATCGCTATAATTTCTGTTGGAAGTAGTGGCCCAGGGCATGTGCATGCTCAGCTGAGATTATAAGAACGCTTTGGCAGAAGCAGTAGGAAGGATGGTCATTGCTAGGGACAGAAAGGAGGTATAAGTACCTGATTTCACGCCAGAACCCATGCACTGTGAGGCTAAAGAGGTCTGCTTTTCTGTAGCTTGTTTCCTGATAGAAGAGATCAATACAAGAGTCTCTGGATGAAGATCAGCAGCTGTTGCTGTAAAGGCAATTCTCAGTGGTACTGTTGCAGTTTGGCCTTGAATACAGAATTAAGTGAAATATAATTTACTACATTTTCAGCCTACTTTTGTCAGTGAAAGTTTCTCATTTTTTATGAAGAGTAAAGCTGCATGAGAAATCCACGTCCAGTCATGCTCTCTGTTGAAAGCCTTTTCTTGTCTCTATTTAGCTAGTAATGCTGCTGTGGACTCCAGATGTTTAGAAGCTGCAGACCATAGAAGACAAGCCTGTCTGTAACATGGGTCACTCCTTGCCTTTTGTTTAAGTCCTTTATAGGCACTTTGCAGAAGGAAGCTGATGTCAGTATCTGCATTTGACAATGAGGGACAGATGGAAAGAGTATACCTGCAGAACCTGGAGGTGCTAGGAGATGTCAGCCCTTCCTCTGAGTAGCACTTCCAAGCCCTGTTAAATTGATCTGTCCGGAAAGAACGCAGAAATGACAGCTTGCAGTAGCACTGCTGTGAACATAAGGTGTTTGTATGCCTAAGCCTTTGGTGGCATAAGCAGTGTCTACTCACTGTGTAGGAAACTTGAGAATTGAAGTCTCTTTCCAATTTCCCAGAACACAAGGCTTACAGACAACTTGTGTTATTGATTTGACCACCTTCTTGTATTTATTAATTAAGCAGTGTGTTACTTAATTACCAGAGTGATGGAAAGAAGCTGTGATTTGATTATGTGTACCAGGACTCTCAGCGAGGAGGAAGAATTTAAATTGGGCAAGCTGGGGGATGAGGTTTCTATGCAGCTCTGTCAGCTTCTTGCTGAGCTTTCACAGAATCACAGAATCATCAAGGTTGGAAAAGACCTTCAAGATCATCCAATCCAACCATCCACCTATCACCAATAGTTCTCACTAAACCATATCCCTCAACACAAAATCCAAACGTTCTTGGAACACCTCCAGGGTCGGTGACTCCACCACCTCCCTGGGCAGCCCATTCCAGTGCCTGACCACTATTTCAGAAAAGTAGTATTTCCTAACGTCCAGCCTAAATCTCCTCTGGAGCAGCTTGAAGCCATTCCCTCTAGTCCTATCTCCAGTTACATGAGAGAAGAGGCCGACCCCCAGCTCACTACAACCTTCCTCCAGGTAGTTACAGAGAGCAATAAGGTCTCCCCTGAGCCTCCTCTTCTGCAGACTGAACAATCCCAGGTCCTTCAGATGCTCCTCATTCCTCCTTCCTGTTCTGCATCAGAATGGCAGCCCGAGAGGCAGAAGAGAAGCCTGCTGCTCCTGCATGGTTCATTTCACCAAGTGGCAGACACTGGCACTTCCTCTCTTTCTAAACTTCTGGAGGTTTGTGGTAATGTTGACTCTTGCTGTGCACTGATTCCTAGCAGAGCGCAGATGTTCCTTGTCAGCTCTGGCCATCTTTCAAGGCTATAAATACTGCCTTTAGTAAAGAGTGGTGGTGAAACAAGGCTGTGATTTATGAATGAGGTTGCACGAGTTAGCCTGGCTTTTGAAGTAGCTTTTGTGTGTGGAAAGCACCGTGGGTGTGTTAGCTCACCTGTTTATCCTTTGCTCTTGTTAAGTGGTAAGAGATGGGTGCTTGAAACCTGTTGTAGCAGGTGTGAGTGGATAAGGTGTTGCTTTGGCCACATGTCAGAGGAGTTGGAAATTTGCTTTCTTCACAAGATTGGAGTAGACCAAATTTAGCGAACTGAGTTATTTTAAGGAAATTTCAGATATTGGTTAGCCTTTTGTTGAAGAGGGCTAAAAAGATATTTCCCAAAACAATAGTGTGAGGATGGTATTTTTTGTTTGCTTTCTAGGGTGGCTTGTGGGCAGTGTTCTGAAAGCTGTATTTTCATTATAAATCCCATGATAGACCACTGAGAATGAAGCCCTTTTATTTATGCTTTATTTATTTTATTTATGAAACACCTTATTATGTACACTTAAATAAATGCATATTTGTAAGAATGAGAGAGTGTCTATTTTCCCTAGATATTCAGTTAAAATTGAAGAAAAAAAAAAAAGAAAAAAAGAGGGAGAAAAAATAGAAGTTATACTGAAGGTATGTTTGATTCTTCCATTTGATGTTACTCTGTAGGCAGCACTCCTTCCTCTAGTAGCACTGCACACCTCCCTCAGTTAAACCATACATGAAAAGAGAGGTAGGGCACAAGTGATGATATGTGTTGAAGGTGGTGTGCAGAATAGCAAATATTTTTGTTCTTAGTTCACACTGCATGAAAATCTCATTACTGGAGGGCTAATAAATGACTAGCAGACTTTCCAGTAAATTGGTAGGTAATTGCTGCTGGAGTGATCAGTTGTGCTGGCTGTGGCTTGTCAAGCCTGAAAATTGCAGTGGCATATGAAACTCTGGCATGTCAAAGTGTTGTGTTTAAAATCATCTTTAACTCATTCCACTCATATCTGCCCTGCACATGGCCTCTGCTGATCACACATTAGCTCCCTGTAAAGTAAGGCTTAGTGGAAAGAATTTCTGTATAGTACTTTTTTTAAAAAAATAGAAATGCTGTCACACACAGAGAACTGAGATTGTGCATAAATTTTCACACAAGTATCTGGGAAAAGCTTTTACAGACTTTAAAAAAAAGGCTTTTCCATGTGCAGGGAGATGTATGTGGAGGTACGCTTTCTTATGTGGAAGGTTTTTGCCTCCTTGAGGGGAGAAGCAATACACAGCTTAGCAGAACTTTCCTCCGGCAGTAGAAGTGGGAGGAATCTATAAATGTATGATTTATATAAGGTGCCCTGGGAGTGCTGAACATGCTGAACATCCTGACTCTGAGCAACTGATGAGGGAAATCACTGCTGCCATGAGTGAACAGGAGGAAAGTGAGCAGCTCTCCAGGCTGGCCCAGTGGTTTATGTCTCTCCCCAGTTCTCCACACCAAGCTCCTCGCTGCAAGTCCTGCTGCTATCACTGGTGGAGCCTCCTGGTGGGATGCTTTCTGTGTGTGGGCTGCATGGATGCTGCTAAGACTTCTGGGGAGGTTATTTGGGGAGTAGCATTGTTTCCAGGACAACTGGGGAAGAATGAGGAAGGGACTTCTGCCGAGTCAGCATGGAGCTGCTGAACACCCTAGCTGGTTGGCTGCATTTTTCTGTGAAAAGTCGCTAATGGCTCACTTATACAGAGGCCTCTTTACACTGTTCTCAAACATATTGGGTACCTGCTGCTTGCAGATGATTGATTAAAAAATACTAGTTCAAGAAGTAAGTGAGAAGCCATTATTGGGTTGTGGGTTGTTGTAGCAAATAGTTGTGGGTTGACTGTAGCAAAGAGCCTGTCTGTTCAGTGAGCATGTTTTGGACATGGCATATTCAAAAGGTGAGTCTGGTGGAGCACAGTGTGTTTCTAGGGTGGAAAACCCGTATTCGGGTCTCCATGTTTAACTCTGTTATCCTCTGATGACGGTTAAATAAATGTCCCTGTTCTACACAACTCCTTCAATTAATTGGTATTTGCTCTATCACGTAATATCACTTCTGTACTATTAATTACCTTCTATCCTAAGAGGAATTAAATCCTTCTCAAAGCTGTGTGTTGTCGCCTTACTTCTTTTCTTCCCATGTTTTTTGTATCTGATAGTAATGCTGGACTACAGAATATGGTGTTAGACTCCAGTGCTGCCATGGGGAGCAATAAACTTCAAGAGAAAGATGCTGTTGGAGCCCTTGGCCACGATCTCAGCAATGGCAACAGCAGCAATTTGGAAGCAGCCAGGCACCTAGCTAAACGCCTCTACCATCTGGACAGATTCAAGCGCTCTGATGTGGCAAAGCATTTGGGTAAAAAGTATGTGCTGATGTGAGGATATATGCCCTGTTGTTCATGTTACTGATTTGGGGGAGTTCACTCTTGAATGACTAACTTTTCTTTTTTCCTTTCTTTCTTCAAAGCAATGAATTCAGCCAGCTTGTGGCCGAAGAGTACCTTAAGTTTTTTGATTTCACAGGCATGACGCTGGACTTCTCACTCAGGTATATGCCTCTTTGCAAACCCGGTGTTCTTGTTCTAATGACTGTGCTGTGTGCTATGCTGTCCTGATTGAATAGTGGGAGTTTTAGATGGTGAAGAGACATATTCTGGGAAGGAGCATTTCTCTCCTGTTGGGCTTGGCGTGCCACCATTGTAGCATTGTTGGAGCAGTGGTGTTTCCTGGAGAGGGCGATCCTTGGGTAGACCTGCTTAGATATAATCCTTGATCCTTTTGTCCTTGATCGGGAGAAAAATGACAAATCAGTAGACAGGAGGAATGCCAGGTGCAGCTGAGGAATGAAGGTGTTGCTCATGCTGAGCTGCATGGTGCTCACTGACTTTTTCACTGATGCTTTTTGGAGCTTGCTCTGCTCGGCTGCACAGTGCAAAGCGGGGGCCAGGATTTCATGTGATTCAGCAGCCCTCTTCTTGTGTCCCTCTGAGGCACCTAAAAATATGCAGAACGGCAAAAGCTTCTGCATTGAAAATGCCTGTGAGAGTTTGGTTGCTGCTAGGGTGGGCGTTTGAAAACCCTTCCTTCAAGTTTTGTTCCTTTTTACACTGGAATTAGGCCTCAACTGTTTGTTTTCAGTATTTTTTCTTAGGAGGCAGCATACCAAATTTTTGTGGCAGTGGTCTGTTGGCACAGCTGGTGGATAGTGAAATGCTGACAGAAAAAGAAGAGGGATTTAAAGTGAGTTTCAATCATCTGACGTGGGTTACTCTAGAGGGTTATTATTTTTCACTAACTGTACAAACCCCGGAAGGCTGTGGGTTTTGTCAGTACCCTTGCAGATAATTTCCAGGAGGTCATCTGCCAGCAACTGCATCTGAGCCATGCCTCTGTCTGCAGGGTGAAAAACAGCACTCAAGTCCTGCACACTAATGGCAGTGGGAGCACACCTGCAGAAGGGGTTAACAGAGTGCTACAGTGCTGCATGCTCCAAGGAGCTGAGCACCAGCCCGATGCAGGATGGAGGATGCTGGTTCCTTGTTCTGGGTATTAGGTGCCCTGAGGCGTGATTCTAAATATGCCTGTCTTTTAAATTGTGAAATCCAACACCTAATTATTTTGCAGCACATTTTTAGGCGGTCTCTTCTCCCTGTGGATCTCCGGTTAATATTAATAGTTGTGACCTTCTCTAAAATATGCTCTCTCTGGCATGATACTTCAACGCTCAAAGAACTTGAGCCAAACTGCAGAGGCTGTCAGGCACCATAAGCGCACAGAACAGTCTTAAGTCAAAGGATCAGCTTGAACCCCAATGGTATGCTGCCCCACCTATGAGTGAGGGGGATGTAGAGGAGTGAGAAGTAGCTGTGCCATTACTGCTGGCTTGCTGGTGTGCCATGGTTTATTAAACCATGGTGATGTGTTGGCACACCACAGCCCATAGCTGCAGCCCTGACCCACATTACCCCCAGACTGTGTGAAGCTGTTGTATAGTGTGTAATACAGTTGATGGAGAGTCCAGGATATAATGACAGTCATTCATTGCCCAGCTCTGCTTCCACATTAACTGCATGTCACCTTGTTTCACTCATGCATCTTTCTTGTTTATTTAACAAGTGTTGTTCCACCATTTGCTAATGCAAGGGGTCTTTCGGATGGGTAAATGTCCTGAAAACAAGGAGAGGCTTGTAGGTCTCTGGTGACAAGCATGAGCAGGGGCTATTGCTGGAGAGAGCCCAAGCTGGAAGAGCTGGGACAACTAGTTGTCAAAAAGTCCCACTAGGGCATGAAATAGGGTTGGATGAGAAACCCTGTAGAGACTCAGTTGTATGTACTTGTGAATTTAGTAATTTGCAATGCACTGCATTTGAAATGAAGTTATTACCAGGCAGATCACACTCTGCATGGGTGTGAGATCACTGCAAGTATGGTCTGTCTCTGACCTTACATCAAAGAAAAACAATTAATAGTTATTCTTCCAGGTCAGACAGACTTTCAGTGCTTCAGCAGCATATTCTTCACTTCTCAGATCTGGTGTTTCAGTCCTATGAGACACTTAAAATTTGTCTGTTAGGTGTTCATTTTGTATGCCTTCTTGCTTCAGACCCAAAGAGTCTGTGCTTTCAGGCTTTTCTTAGAAGCATCTTGACAAATAAGTATAGGCTGATAGCACTGAGGTCATCTCTTGGCTGCAGATGTGGGGATTTGGGCAAGTGCAGAAGTTAAAAGAGAAGGCTCCGGGGAGATCTCATTGGGGCCAGTAGTTGAAGGGAGCATGTAAACAGGAAGAGCAATGGCTGTTTATGAGGGTGGATAGTGATAAGACAAGGGGGAATGGTTTTAAAGTGAGACAGGGGAGGTTTAAATTAGATATTAGGAGGAAGTTTTTCATATTTGGGTGGTGACACACTGGAATGGTTGCCCACAGAGGTTGTGGATGCCCCATCCCTGGAGGTATTCAAGGCCAGGCTAGGTGTGGCTCTGGGCAGCCTGGTCTAGTGATTGGCAACCATACCTGTGGCAGGGAAGTTGAAACTTGATGATCATTATGGTCCTTTTCAACCCAGGCCATTCTGTGATTCTATGGTTCTTCATGAGAGTTGGCTGCAAAAGGCTAGCTTTTCTAGCAGGAGCAATAGTGGAATGGGTAAGAGGCAGATGAAGATGTCCTCTCTCTTTGCACAGGTGTGCCCCTGTATGTATCAACCATCTGCCCAGGACTGTCAAGAGGAGTAGTAGGGCAGGTTTTGTTCTTTCTGCTATTGATGCACAACAGGAGAAATTTCTGTCCTCTTTCTCACGTTTTCTGCAGGGCACGTGGCCACACTGCCCTTCTGCAAGGTGATCATTGGGTCATGGCTGCTGTGTTACATGTCCCACCAGAAGGAGGATTTCACATTCAGTCCCAATTCCAAGTCCATAATGCATGTGCCTGGACTAGTTCCTCTGATTTTGATGGAAATAATGATGGCTGTAAAGTTAAAAAGTGCAGGCGAAAAGGGCAGAGAACATCCTGGATGTATGTTGTACATGACCTGTTTCAGTATCTTCTCTGAAGAAATGAAAAACACTAAAAATTAAGAAAAACTAGTTCAGTTATTAAATTTGCTTGTTAGCTGGTATATTCCATGGTTAAGACCATGTGTAGTGTAATTCCTGATTCATGTACTGTGATGTTGGAATTAACTGTGCATGGGTTGATAGTCTGTTTTCCTTGACAGGCTTCTTGGAGCGAGCTGTTGGGCGTGTGCTTATGTATTTCTTAAGCTTTATAGCTATATATGCTTTCCCCTGTCTGAGGGGGATAAAAGGATTTATGATTTTAATTTCTCTTTTCTATGCAATTCTTTTAGGAGTTTCTTTAAAGCCTTTTCACTTATTGGAGAAACTCAGGAACGAGAGAGAGTTTTAATCCACTTTTCCAGCAGATACTATCAGTGTAACCCAAACACCATTTCTTCTAAAGGTAACATTGCTTTTTATAAGAAGATGTTTAATTTCCTTCTGTCCTCACCTTGTTTGTATGGTTGCACGTAAGGTGATGTATAATTGTTGTGCTATGCTTTAGAAATTGCCTGTTGTGAGCATGGAAACCCTTCATATTGTCCACACATAATCATGTGTAAAGGGCATTAGGCATCCTCAGTGTAAATTCTTAGTTGTAGCATCTCCAGATTTAAGTGTCTGCAGTTCTATTTTTCGGTCTCACTGACTCTGAGTGTGTGTGGATGCCTGCACTCCAGCTACAGTAAATGAGAATGCTACCTTATCTGGAAGTGATGCAGTTCACTTTTCATACACCAATCCATGCTTGTTTCTTCTCACACACTGATGCTGCAAATGCTCATTCTTGCCAGTTAAGGGGGTGAATTTTGGGTGCTGCAGACCCTGACGAGTTTTCATCTTTACTAACATCAGTCAGAATGCTGCGCCTTGCCAGTGTTTTCAGTCATTTTGGAAACTGATGTGAGAAACAAACAAGTGCACAGATCAAACTCGAAAAAGTTGGCATTCAAAAGGAGGGCACACTGTCAGCTGGCGTGGCTCCTGCATTCAGCCAGCCACACCAGCAGTGGAATGTGACTGTAATTCCAGTGCTGGCTGATCACACACTGAGAAAGCTGAGGAAGGGGGGTGAGAAAGAAATATGCACAGGCTGAACTGTACCTTTGGTTCTCTAGTGTAACTAAGGAGGAGCTGCTGCATTTGGAAGTACTGTCTTGTTTACTTACCCCTTGTTTTGTGGTTAACCCTTGTTACAGTGAGATGGTATTTGCCCTCATTATGTCTTTTTAGCTTCACTGGCCTGTCAGACAAGAGAATAGGTAGCAATAAGACGTGATCAACTCCCATGCTATCTCTGTCCTCTTTCTTATGCCTTTCTTATTTTAAGTCAGGACAAGCAGTAAGTGAGAACAAGCATGTCATTTTCGGATTAAAACAATGATCTGTTTTTTGATATGGCTGCCTTACTTTAGTCCAAGTTGCAGAAAGTACATTTCCAGTTCAGAGCCTGAATAAGTGTCTGGATTAAAGTGAGTCCTGTAGACTTTGCATAGGGTTTTAATTTTGATGCTGGATTTCCACTGTCAGTAGTCAAGTGCTGCACTGCAGAAATGTGGTGTTTGTTTCTTTTGGTGGAAATCCAGGATTGCATTTGCTTTTCTCTTTTCTCCTTTTCCTTCTTAATCCTCCGAATATATTTGCGATTTGGAATTGGGAAGGCAAGCTGCTGTGGAGAAATGCATAGGCCTGAACAGAGGCACCACAGCCTCAGATTCAAGCTGCTTCAGACTTACCATTGTTAGTGATGTTACCATTGTTAGTGATGTGTGTTAGTACTTCTTTCATTCCATGCTTTGCTAGAATTCTGCCACATTGCTTGGGTACTAGGCCGTGTACAAACATGATAAGAAAACATAGTACGTGTCTTGAGGGTTGTCTTTTTGTAAAGGCCTTAGGCCTGTAATCACACAGTCTTACTGACTTTTAAGATATGTATATCCCCATCCACCATTTCTCTTCTTTTACAACGTGGGAATCTATACATGATTTGGCTACAAGAGATTTTAATTGCAGCTCACTACAGGATGTCTTTACTTTATAAGTGATCATTTTTCTCACCTCTGTGAGAGAAGGGAAAATAACATCTGGTGTTTATAAACAAGAGAATGAATAAGTTATTTTTCCTAGTGTAATTGATGTTTGGAAACTGAATTTAAGCATTTGGAGATTGAATTTAAAAGAAATGCCTGGAAAATGAGGAACATGAGAGTGATGTCTACTTGTGCAAATGGTGATCCTTACTGACATTCCAAGGTCTATGGCAGTGACTCTGGGGGTGCAGTCAGGAATACAGTGTGTCTCTTCTGGTGCCTTGTGGAGGACCTGTGATACACGCAGGACCTCCTCAGACATTGCTGGAGTACTCACTACCCAACACGAAGTCTAGGCAGTGAAAATATCTGACTGAAGTTATTCAGAATTCTCCACTGAATGAGGAGAGGGCAAGAGGGGGAGAAAAACATACAGTTGTTATGTTCTGTCATACTGTACAGAAAAATAGCCGTTTTCTGTCTTCACTTTCTGTCCTAAACAGACAAAATAAAAAGGAATTGATTCAAGCTGTGGTTCTGATGTCAGCATGGTTTCCTGTCTAGTTTGCTTCGTTTATGGGTGCTGCAAGATAGTTTTGTCATTTATTAAAAGGTGAAAGAAAGGTTGTTCTGTTTTGGCAACTGTGGAATGACCTCACTGTTCATTTACTTATTTATATTTCTTGATAAACAGATTACCATTAAAAAAACAGACTCCATTAGACTGTGAGGCTTGGTTTCATCCATTCTTAAGGGTACAGTTTTGATCTTGCATGTGACTGGTTATATCTCTCTGCAGATGGAATTCACTGTCTCACGTGTGCCCTGATGCTGCTAAACACTGATCTGCATGGCCACGTGAGTATGCACAGCTTCATATGGATTGTTCCTGACAACTCTGCTGGAGGTAGCGATCTTCTGGCAACAGAATCCCCTTGCTGATGGCCTGATTCTAAAGTACTTTGAACATCTCTGTTGTAGACAGCAAGCAGACAGTGAGGTGGTTGCTCTCCCTGAAACTGCTGTAGTATAGGGCACAACTGTTCAGCATGCCCAGGAGCACACAGTCTAGGCCTGGTGTTGCACCTGATTTTGCAATTATGTGTGAAGATGCTCCTTGTCATTGAGCTCCTTCTTTTCTTGATGATCCCCATCCTTTCCTGAGGATGGCAGGTGGTTCTGACTGGGGAACTGTTGTTGGGATTGATTTCTCCTTCCCAGTATGTAAAAATGTGGAAAGTGGAAGAAGGAAGTGAAGTGAAGAGAAACTGGGAAAGTCACAAGGGGAGGGTGTTGGTTGTAGGCCTTATACTGCAGGGAGAAGATCTGGTGGAACCAGAGTTCTGCTCAGCCAGGGTAATTATGAGTGTGCCTGGAGGCAAGAAAGCTGAGAAGGGGTGTGGGTATCCTGAGCTGAAGCCCCGAATTCCCCCAGCAAATGCCTCTCCCCAGTGGCTTCCTGGGGGAAGTAATTTTCTAGCTGAAATTTTCTTAGTCACACTGAAGCAGGGTGCCAGTAGCCCTAGGACATGTCTTCCAGCACTCATGGTGCAATAGGCTGCTATGCACAGTATTCCTGTGGTGGGAGGTGTTTTCTGTCCTCACACAGCAGGGATGTGGGTTGGGCAGCAGGTGACAGAGGCTTGTTCCTGGAGACAGGGGTAGCCTGGGCTGCGTTGTGGTGGGTCTGTCTGCAAGGGTTGCTCAGCCCCAGTGAGACACAGCTCTGTAGTGGGTGCAGGTAACAAAGCCAAGGCTTTGTATGCTTCTCCAGGGATTTTGACGCCCACTTCACATTGATTGAAGATCACACTGGTCTGAAGATAGTAGGAGCAGGGGAGGAAGGGGAGTTGTAAAGAATTTTGTCCCCGGAAGCTGGGCTTACCTTAGCTTAGAAGTGCGTAGGACAGTGAGAGGAATTTGGGGAGCATGCCTTGGTGTAACTCTCAACCTTCTCTGCTTCCCTTGATTGTATCGCAGACTGCCTGCACAGGTATCCTGTTGCACAGGGCAGCAAACAGCCTGGCACACCAGGGAGGGAAGACTGAATATTGTGCCTGAGCTGGTAGTGTTGCATATTGCTCTCTACGATGCTTTAGTGGGCTTTTTTTAGATACTGGAGGAGGGGAGAGAGGTGCTCTGGCCCTTCATTGCTGCTGTTGATTTGCAGCTGAAACTAGAACGGCTGAGTGATGCACAGCATAACGTTGGAGACTTATCCTACTGGCAGCTACATGTATAGAGCTCTAATGTTTGCCATACTTCTGCATGTGTGTTGCTTCTCTCTGTCCCTCTGGGATTTCCTTTAATTTTGGTTTTCTTCTTACTGTTTTGCATTTTTCTGCATAGGTGGTAAGTTGGGCATTTCTGACTTGGAATGCAGCCCCTTGCACAAATATACTAATTGCCTGTTTCCTAATAAAGACATAAGGCTTCAACCTAACCTGAGCATGATTCTACAAGAGCAGAAAACAAATGAGTTTGAGCTTGTCTACGCTGAGTTTTTTTTGTTGTTCATAATAAAAGTAACTGCAGATATTCTTGTTTCATAGTGAGCTCAACTTCTTGTAAGGCTGTAGGCCTCCAGTCTGTATCTTCCCTTAACTCTTGTAGACAAACTCTTACTTTTTCCTTTATTTGCCCCTACTTTACCACACTTCTTTCTCTTTATAAATACAGCATTTTTGCTATCCATGTCTTGAAGATGCATGCTCACTTTTCCGCAGGCAGGCCATTATCCAGACTGTAAGAACATGTTAGAGAAGTAACTGTGTTCAGGGTAGCTCTAGACTTCCAGACACATCTTTTGGAACCTGCATGGCACTGTGCGGAGACATTAGCTGTGGTCCTGAAACAAAACAGCCATTCATTTGGAGTGCTAACTATCTCAATGAGTAAACTGGACCATACTGCAGTTGGGCTTAGTCAGTGTGGAGAATTACAAACTGCTGTGGAATTGAGGAAGCAAACAGAAACAGTCTAATATCTGTAACAGGGAAGAAAGAAGGTGTTTGCAAGTCTATGAGAACACTCCAGCCTGCACCCAAAGACTGCACAAACGAATATTCTGAAGTCCAGCACCCAAGGGGCCAGGGTTGTAACTCTACTATGTTGTTAAGATCTTTAATGATGTGGGAAGCACTGTGTGCCCCTCTGGAAGTATCTCCTTTCTTGTGCAAGAATATTCTTGCCTGTCTTTTTTTTTTGCAAAACTATGTGGCCAAAAACTGTGGAATCTTCCTTTGCATCTAGATAGGGTTGATAGTCAAAGTTTAGTGAATTTCCAGTTTTCCCTAGGCCTCTGTTATGGAATGGGAGTAGTTGAGCAGCCCAAGCAATCATGTAGCTGTAACACTGAATAATCTATGTTACTGACTCATCCCTTTCTTGGCTTTTAACTTCTGTCTGCATAAAGCTCTTCCAGTGTAGGTTGTCAATATTTCACATTTTGTTGGCAAAGCAGGGCAGAGGGCATAAAGTTGGAAGGCTGCTTCCTCAAGGGAATAGTAAGCAGTCTGTTTTGCATGCAGAAACAAGGCAGGTATCTTGTAATGCACTTTCATTAGTCAGAGGGAGTAAGTGCAGCAGCACTGCTTATTGGGACACAGAACTGCAGGTGGAGGTTTGCAGCTTGGTAGTCTGACAGAGGCTAGCTCTCAGTTGACCTAGAAGTTTATGGTCAGTTTTTATTCTAAAAATAAAATTTTATTTTATTATATGCAGCCAGGGCATACCCTGACAATGTAGTAGACTCACCACCTTGTTCTCTCTGGCATCTGTAAAAATACTGTGGTCATCAGAGAGTCCTGATTTCCCATTGTTCCTATCGTGATTTTTCTTGTGCTTCTTTTTTTATCAATTTGATACTACCATTTCTGCCTGCTCACAAGACTTCCCATATGCAAGTTTGGGGTTTCAAGGGCACTAGGGAGACCTAGCACAGGCACTTTGTCTGATGGCTGACTGCGACTGGGATTCAAGAGGAATTTAAGGCAGCCTCAAGCCTCCACATGAGGTGATTTTGGACCAGCAGCCATTTGCTGAAAGTCTGTGGCTCAGCTGGATAATTTCAGACAATGAATGAGGTAGAAAAAGAAAAAAGAATTACCTGGAAATGTCAGAGAATCATAGAACATTCTGAGTTGAAAGAGATCACAAGGATCATTGAGTCCTGATCCTCCACTGACAACAGCTCGACCTCAAGTTAATCTCAGTGCTGTGACTCAGAAAGTGGGTGCTTCTGTGTACCTAACTGTTGCAAGGCAATTGCTACTGGATGATTGGAAGCATAAGAGAAAGGTCTGGAAAGGGCCTCAGTTCTTTGTTTCTTTGTGCCTCACAGCAGAATCAAGTAAATATTTTCTCTCAGAGGCTGATGGAACCTTTGGAGACATGGGGTGGAAGGCACGTTGCATATACCAGTGAGCTTCAGCACCGCCCTATTCATTACTCTCCAGTATTTAGCTTTTTTCTATTCAGGGGGCCCAAATGCACTTTGCCTTTTCCAACTAAGTTCACAAAGAGATGGTTGCCTGAGAGTAATGTTGGGAATGACTTCTTAGTAACACCTGCCTTGGGCTTGAATTAAAGCTGGGAGATGTAATTTATCTGAGATGTCGCATGTTTATGTCATTTTAGAAAGTAGCATGGCTGTAGTGCTTTGTTTCTCTGTCATCCTTTCCAGAACATTGGGAAAAAGATGACCTGCCAAGAATTCATTGCTAACCTCCAGGGGATGAACGATGGTAAAGACTTCCAAAAAGAACTGTTGAAGGTAAGAAACGAACTGCAGGACATGGATCTCAGTATCAGTGAGATAGCTCACACCATTTGTGTTTTCTGAATTGTAAAACAGGACGGACTGTGTTTCTTCTACTAAACTATATGCAGTATATACACTGTATATTCTATTGTTTTCCTTCTGCCTTTACCTGAAAGTGACTGAGACTACATGCAGCATGAACAGGCAAGACCTATCTTCAATGGGGCTAGCTTCAGAGAGCCATATGTCTAAAAAGCTCAGGTGGCTATGCAGTCCCAGATTGCTGTCTCTTGATTAAATCAGAGAGAAGCAGCCAGTTGATTCTGTATGTGAGGACTAATCCTGAGCTGTGTATCTGGAAGGCAAATGGTTTTTCATCAAAGGTGCTTTGGGGTTTTCACATCAGAGCAGATGTAATTTCAGATTACAATGTGCTGTCTGGTACAGACTGCTTTGCTTCAGATTTTATTCATTAAGTTTATGCCAGGAGTTAAATCTGAAGAACTGCGGAAGAGGCTGAAAAGGGTTGATCTTGTTTCATTGTCAGTAATAATGAGAATGTTTCATTTCTCTTTTTGTGTGATTGTTGGCATGAAACAGCAGTCTGTTTGAATGAGGAGAGGAGTGCATACACCAGAGTTCATAATTTTTTTTTGTAATGGAAATAATAATGAGAGGTTGCTGCATCTGAGGTCTGACCCAAAGCCTACTGAAGTAAATCAAAAGAACTGCTGCCTCTTCTGTGGGTTTTGTAAGGCCTATTGTGAATTGCAGATGAACCTGCGTAACTGTAAGTGGCAGTCTTTGTTTTCTGGTAATTGGTAGTTTCTCCAGTTTTTTGGGGAGGACAAGACCAAGAGCCAGGTCCTGCACTTTGGCCACAAGAACCCCAGGCAGCACTGCAGGCTTGGGATAGAGTGGAAGACTGTGTAGAAAAAATGGACCGGGGGGCATTGGTTGGTACTTGACTGAACATGAGCCAGTAGTGTGTCCAGGTGGTCACGAAGGCCAATGGCTTCCTGCCTTGTATCAAAAGTTGTGCAGCCAGCACAGGAGCATGGAGGTGATCATCCCCCTGTAATCAGCACTAGGGGGGCTGAACCTCGAGTGCTGTATTCAGTTTTGGGCAGCTCACTAAGAAGCACACATTGAGGCCTTGGTATGTATTCAGAGAAGGGCAACAATGCTGTGAGGAGTCCGGAACACAAGTCTTATGAGGAGTGGCTGAGGGAGCTGGGATTGTTCAGTCTAGAGGAGAGGGAGAGGAGGCTCGGGGGAGACTTTATTGCTCTCTCAACTGCCTGAAGGGAGGTTGTGGTGAGGTGGGGGTCGGCCTCTCCTCCTGCACAGCTGGCGATAGGATTAGAAGGGAATGGCTTCAAGTTGTGCCAGGGGAGGTTCAGGTTGGATATCAGGAAAAATTTCTTCACACAAAGAGCTGTCAGGTGCTGAAATGGACTGCCCAGGGAGATAGCTTAGTCACCATCCCTGGAGGTGTTGAAGAACTGTGTGGGTGTACACTGAGGGACAAGGGATAGTGGGGAAATATTAGTGGTAGGTGTATGGTTGGACTGGATATCTTGAAGGTCTTTTGTGTTTCTGTGATTCATTGTAAGGAACAGGGAATGTAAACTCAAACCCCTTGCTGTTAGTTTTCATGTCTTTATTTTTTAAATCTGAATGTAATGCTCATCTGTCTGTAGCATCACTTTTTTTTTTTTTTTCATGGAACTTCATTTCTTACCCTGTCATAGAGAGATGTGTTGAGATTAATTTGCAAGATAATTGCAGCCCTTATTGAATAAAAAGGTCTCCAGGCTGTGTTTAAATAACCTTCAGAGTGTACTGAGGAGAGATTTCCACTGGTTCTCACCTGCTGTTTATTTTCCTGCTGACAGAAGTACACAGTTGGGGCTGAATCTTGGTGTTTATTGTTGACCTTCAGACTAATGCTGAGACTTGCTGGCTCTTTGCCAGCCCACTGAGAGCAAGAGAATGGGACTCAAGATGTACTGGAGGCAGTAGAATGGAAGAAACCTGGTGCCAGCATCCTGCTTCATTTGAGATGTTCTGCCCTTCTCTGCGTGTCGCCCTGATGCTTTGGGGACGGGTGTAGCACCCAGTTTTGGTCTGGGTCATCTCACTTGTCTGAAGATATTCTAGATGTTCTGCCCCTTGTTCTATTAATGTATTGCTGAAGAGAAGTGCATGGTAGTGAACGTGCATTTCAATTGCTACATTACTGTGTCCACAGCAGCTACCCTGACACAAGTTGTGTGATTACAAAGAGTTAGCTGAAATTAAATTTGCATTAGCGTCAATAAATTAAATTCACAGAACCCTGCTTCAGCACACTGCTGAAGTGCTTTTGGCTTGCTGGTGCATTAGCAGGATGGCTAATGACAAGCAACTGATGCTGCTGGCTGATTCCCTGCAGCCCTTTTAGGTTTCTGTGAGAGAAGGACCATTTCCACAGGGTGGCAGTGTGCCCCTGCGGGAGCGAGATACTGACACCCACGATATGGTTGGGAAGTAATTGTGCTTTTCTGCCTCTGGTCTACCTGCGTTCCCCTCGTGGCTCTGAGATGAGCATTGCACCACTGTACAAAGTCTGCAGCTTTGCACAGCCATGCCCCAAAGCAGAGCTGAGCAATGTTGGAATTGCAAGAAAAGGGGAGAGGTCTTAACAAGTGACTTACAAGTGGCTTTCATCCAGAACTTGGAAGTGCACTGCAGCTTTTGTGGTTGGTCTAAAACACAGAGTCAGTCAGGGCTGCAAATCGTGCTTGAGATACCCAGAACACACAGGGCATACAGGCAGAAGTCAGGTCAGTTGCTACAATTTCCCTTTGTTTCACTGAGCACAAAGTGTAGTCCTGGGTGTTTATTTTGTTTGAATAGGCTTTCAGAGGGCATGTATGAACGTGTGAGGAGATTCAGTTCTCCGTTATGCATGATCAGCCTCAGAAAGCTTTGGATGTGAGATCTGATTGCACATTTCCCCCTGCTATTCCCATGAAAGGCCCTACCTTTGTTTTATTTTTTCCCAACAACAAGGCCACTGTGGTAAACATCATCAGGCCTTGTAGTTCAGACATTCTCAGTGTCATTGACAGTGCTTTGGGAATGGGGATTTTCTTCTGGCTAGCAGGCAAATGAGAAATGCTAATATGGTTTCACTCACTGTCTTTTTGTCTGTTCATTAACAGTGAAAATGGTTTCACTTTTGTACACCCATCTGCACAACGGCTCATCTATTTTTCTTTTTTCTCCCTCCTTCTGTTGGATCTGAGGTTGCCTTTAGAGCTAGAACCCACAATAGCAAATATGCCAAACCTCTGATTAACAGTGTGTTTCTCCCCATGAGATCTGCTTGCAGTATTCGTATATTCAGTGCTTTGCCAGGCAGACAGATAAATGCACCTTCCCTTTTATTCCATTTTAGTTCTGGTTTGACCGTCTGTCACACATCCCATTAATCTGCCATCAGCTGCTAGTAAAGACCAGAAGTAGAGACAGTAGTCTGATTTTCATTACGTGCTGTCAGTGCATGTAGACCTGAGTGTTGTAGTTTATACTTACTCCGGAGTTCCTGTATACCTTCATAGTGGAAGCAACTCCTTGTAAATAAGCAGCAGCATCCCAAGCTGTGATTCACTGAATCACAGGACTATCTTTGTGGGGCTGACGTGTTAAAGGTGAATCAAGCCTTTTAAATCCAGGCAGATTAAGGTTATTGAAATGAAATTTTTCAAAGTCAAGAAAACCTTTTGTAACTCCTGTCCTTTGGCTCTGAGCTCTCACACTCCAAGCATACAAATAATTTTATTTTATATCAAGCTGGGTAAGGTGATCCTGAATTACTAGCAGTGTTTTCTTTTCAGCTTTGATCTGTAGCAAAGGTCACTTTGCCATGGTGAGTCTAAGCCTTGGAAGAAGTGCAAAGGCTTGTGAGTACAAAGAGTTGTGACTACCCTTGTTCTGGCTGGTACAGCAGTACTCTGATATGGGTGGGCTTAGTGCTTACACCTAAGGTAGACTGTGAATGGCAAACTTATCAGCATTTACAGATGGAGACAAGAGACAGATTTTACCAAGACCAAGAAACGTAAAGGGACTCAGCCACAGCACTGTTCTCTTCAGAGCAGATGTCCCTGGAACCCCAGGTTAGCTACTGCTAATGCCGCTGCGGAAGGTGAAGAAAGCAGGAGAGATTCTGCACCTCCATTAGTGAGGGTGAGCTGAACGCATCAGAAATAGTTACAGCAACAACTGCATCTAATATGTGGGCTGTTAGCCAGAGGGAATCCATTACCAGATCATTGTTCATTTATTCCTGCAGAAAGGCAGGCCATGGTTAGTATCCAGCCACTTTGAAGGAAAACGAAGTCACTCTAGGGGAATATCGGGAACCTCAGGAATCTCGTGCCTACACTGCAAGATTAGCTTACTGCAGCCTAATTCCTCCTTATGCTCACACCAGCTTTAACCTGATATAGTCATACCATCTCCACTGATTGTACTGTTACGTAACTATTGTCTTCCTCCACTTCATGAGAGTAGCTAATAAAGACAAAATAGTGTAATTTTGGCCATGCTTCATTTCCCACAGGCAGTGTGGTCCTACCTAATGCTGTGCTGGTAAAATGGTGGCCACTGTGTCTTCCTCTTTCATCTTGTTCCAGAAGGGAAGCAGTAACAAGACCTTTCTCACATGAAGAAAAATGACAGTCTAATCCCACAGAGTGTGCCAAGAGTCATCTCTGAAGAAATGGATCCCAGCATTTGTTAGGCAGTACTTAGATTGTGTGATGCTTTCCATTGTAGGAAAAATACTTGGTTGTTAGGCCATGTGCTAAGATACCACCTGCCTGTGTTATCCCGCATATGTCTAAATGTCCTTGGCATCTGTAGTGTCTAAGATAACTTGTTTATGGAGAATCATGGGAGTTTCACAGAATCATAGAATCATAGAATCACAAGGTCGGACACGACCTATAAGATCATCTAGT